TCTCTTTTTGCTTCTTGGCTCCCATGAGGTGAACAGATCTCCAAAGCTATAACTTTTGTCATGATATACTACAGGCCCAAAAGCAGTGAGACCAACAGACTATGGATTGAAACCTCTGAAATCATAAGCCAATATAACACTTTCCTCCTTAGAAGTTAATCATCTCAGGTATTTTTCCACAAAGATGCAAAACTAACAGAGCAGTGACTTGTTCGGTACTTGGTCTTGGTATGGAACATACTACACATAGAAGGCATTCAATAAATACTTTTGACTGATTGGTTTCAATCTCAGCTCATGTGTCTATATGTTTGTGTCTAGTCTTCAAAAGTAAATTATCACTGATATGGATGAGTGTTTCTCTCTCCCCGCTACATAAACACACACACACACACACACACACACATGATTAATTCAATATAGTTGAAAATAATGAAGTGCCATGTACATTATGAACTCCACAAGATTAAGGATTCTTGGTTTGTTTTGTTCTCTGGTATAACTCAAGTGCCTGGCATAGTGTCTGATACACAAAGGCACAAGTCACTAGATGACCAATGAATTTAGGTGAAGAAGTACAGGGGAAAATCAGACAATTTACTCACTGACATATATTGCTGAGTGCCATTCACAAATTTGGGTCCAGCCTGTTTCCTCAAATTGATCAATTGTGAGAGGTGCTCATAAGCCACAAATTCATTGAAGAATGTCTTATAACCTATGAGTCTGCCAACCATAAAGCTGTCTTGCCAGTCCACTCCCATCATGAAGGAAAAGGGCATGAAGATGTAGGAGCATATTAGCTGCAAAAACCAGAATATATTTGGTTAGAACAGGCATTTGCTTCTAGTTCTTTTGCCTCATTCTCTCAACAAGATTGTTCCTTAATCCTCTAWCTCTTTTAGAYACAAGATATCCCCTCACATTCTGTTTCYCAYCATTATCTATCAGGAGTTGCTATGGTTTAAATATGGGTTYATCCTTACTAAAACTCCTGTTGAGGTTTGGTCCTCAGTGTAATGCTGCTGAGAGATGGTGGAGCCCATCAGATGAATTAATATCTTTCCCAAGAGAGACTGGATTAGTTTTTTCTGGTATGTAGTAGTTCTCAAGAGAGTATGTTGTTATAAAGTGGGTGAGYTCCTTTGTCTCCCCTCTCCCTCTCTGCACGTGCCCATTTGTCCTTTCTATGTTTCTACTATACAGGGTACAAACAATAGCCCTCACTTGAAGTTGGACAGATGCAGCCACTTGACCTTGAATTTCTAGCCTTCCAAATGGTGACATAAAATATACTCTTTTCATTGATGTGGAAAAAAAAAAGGGAGAGAATTGAACAACAGCTGAGGAGGCAGAGAGGGAAGGTGGGAGGGGAGGGGAGGGGGGATAGTAGGGGTTAGGAAAGGTAGCAGATTAAGACAGTCACTAATATGCCATTATGTAAAAATGTGAGTATGTAACAGATGTGATTCTGCTATCTGTATTTGGGGTAGAAATGGGAGTTCAAAACCCAATAGAGTCAAATGTATGAAAGATGATTTATCAAGAGCTGTGTAATGTTTGGAACAATCAATAAAAAAAAGAAAGAAAAAAATATATACTCTTTTCTTTATAAATTACCCAGACAGGCATCTGTTATTGTAACAGAAAGCAGACTAAGACAGGAGTCAAGGCTGGAATTGGGTCCTTTGAAGCAACCTGGAATCTTGTGGGTGGAATCAGGAGAAAATGACTCTCTGAAGGAAGGAGGGTGATGGGAGAGGGTGGGGTTGGGAAGAAGGGGGAAGCCCGCTGAGGAGCTTCTGCAGTTTGTGAGAGTACACCYCGGGTAGTTAGGGAAGGCTGTACACAAACATAAACAAGGATAGAAACAAAACAGAAAGCAGAAGCATGATAGAATTATACCTCGAAACTCAGCTGTGGGTAGTCAAACATGTTTCCAAACCAGGASAGGCCTGAATTCATAAAAGACAACAGGGCCAAGAAGGCAATCAGATTCACAGTGATGTTTGCCACCAGAGGGATAGATGAGGATGCTCCCTGTGTTGCAGCTTCTAGGAGATTCCTTGAATCACTTTATAAAAAGATAGCAATTCCAGAGTTACCACAGATGCAGAAATGGCAGAATCAGACCTCATTTRAGTGAGAGGCAAACATTTAGATCTCTATCTTGGTCAAAATACTCATCTGAATCCCATGAAATCATGATGTTGAATATAGGTGGTGAGCATATTGCATCTAACCATTATCCTTTTTAATATTTTTTTTCATGATGCTGGAGATTGAACTCAGGGCCTCACACATGCTAAATACTTGTGCAATCATTGAGGTACATCTCCAGCCTCAATGTTGCTTTTTAAATTTGGGGCATTTATAATAAAAATTGGAAAATGATTTAAAAGTAGAGGTTTAGAATTATTAATTGAAAGTAGCTACCAGACAATATTTATAAAATATTCATGGTATAAAGAGTAATAATTTTAGAAGGCCTGTATAGCTGTCACCTCATTTAAGAAATGGAATGTCCCATCACCTTTTGTTATGGTTTGGCTACAAGATGTCCCCTGAAAAGCTCATGTGTTAATGCTGGAATGTTCAGAGGTGAAGTGATTAGATTAGGGGAGCTGTAACCTCATCAGTGGCTTAATCCATTTGATGGATTAATAAGTTGAATGGACTACTGGGTGGTCACTGTAGGTGGGTTGGTAGTATCTGGAGGAAGTAGGATGCTGGAGGCATACCCTTGGGGAAAATAGGTTGTCACTAGTGTCTCTGTTTCCTGGATGCCATGAGCTGAATGTTTTTCCCCCACCAGCCCTTCTGCCATGATGTTCTGCCTCATCTTGGGTCCAGAGCAATAGAGTCTGCTGACCATGGACTAAACGTCTGAAACCAAGAACCCAAAATAATGCTTTCCTTCTCTAAGTTGCTCTTGTCTAGTATTTTGGTATGCCTATGAATTCCCCAGTGTGTAATGTTAACCCCTCCCTACTCTTCTAATCTCAGAGGTACCCGCCTCCTCAATTCTGTTTATCATCCCCTTTCTTTACAATTTTCCCACATGCTTTATCCCTTAATGTTATATCCTACAAATATGCATGCTTGCTAACTTCATAAGTGAAATCATTCGACAGGTTGAATGTCTCTCATCCAAAATGTTTGGGACCAGATGTGTTTTGGATTTTGGATTATTTGCATATACATAATGAGATACCTTGGGGATAAGACCCAAGTCTAAATAAAAAATTAATTTATGTTTCACATATACCTTATACACATGGACTTAAAGTTTTTATGTTATATTTTAAACAATTTTGTGCATGAGACAAAGTTCAATAGTATGGACTTTTTCACTTGTAGTGTCAAAAGTTTTATATTTTGGATTTTAGAATTTTTGATTAGGAATGCTTAACCTTTACTGTATTCTTCAGCAACTTTGCTTTTCCACTCACGATTATGACTTGATTTCCCTACAAATAAGGGATGACTCTAAGACACATCATGGTCTATGAATTATTATTTCCTTATTTAATGAAATAGTTTTGAACATTTAAAATCTTATAGTTTTCCCACCCCTTTTTCTTTCTTTTTCACCGGAAAAAAGAAGATGAACTGTCTTGTTATATAAAGCAACTCCCGAAATGCTCATCCTATGGCTTTCTAACACCGTTAAACCAAAGCTCAATGAGCACTATCCTGCATTTACAATAAAATATATTTATGATGAACAGTTAAAGAAACATATTGGAATTCAGGTATTTAGAAAGGTTTTCCTGAAGTGTTGAGAAAGATGTTTTTTGGTAAAGTCTAATCACAGGAAATTAAATCTACTTTAATATCATAATCCACTCTGTGCTTTCTCTCTATCAAATTTTTGCTGTCTTGAATTTGGACTTTCATGCTCCAACTTGTTAGTTATTGTTATAGTTTGGATCTGGAATGTCCCCAAAGGCTCATGAGTTGGAAGCACAATCCCTAATACAATAAGGTGTTTGCTGGATTGCACCATCAATAGCTGAATGGACCATAGGAAGGTGGGACCTAGTTGGAAGAAATAGGTCACTGGGGGTGTGCCCCATAAGGACTTATCTAACCCTGGGCCATTCCTSTCTTCTCTATTTTCCCCACTGTCATGAGCTGAACAGCTTTCTTCCACTATGCCCTTCCGCCATGATGTTTCTGCCTTGGAGTCAGCTGACCATGGACTGAATCTTCTGAAACTGTGAGCCAAAATAAACTTTTCCTCTTCTAAGTTGTTCTTGTCAGGTATTTTGATCATAGCAAATGAGAACCTGACTAACGCAGTCATTGATTAGGTAACATGTCCCACTTACCCAATTTCCATTTTCATGGCATTCTTGAGGGTTATTTTAGATTTTTCTGTCTCAGGCCAAAAGAGTTTAGCAACAGCCAATGATGCAGGTGCTGACATAACTGATGCTGTTAATAAGTGGGTGGATGAAACCTGCAATTTCAGAAGAAAGCAAGCAAACAAGCTGAGCTTTACTCTTGATTCAGAAAAGTGATTCAAAAGCCTTATAGGGAAGAGATGGAACAGGAGTCAATTCTATGCCAGAAACCAATGCTTCTTTGGAGGTTTGGAAGAGCAGCTTTTGTCAATGAGCCAAGCCATGGCATCACCCTGAGAGTCAGAGGGACAGAGAAGAGATTCAAGTTAATTGGCCACATTCTTGGAGGAAAAGCACAAAGCCTAAATCTGATAATTTCAGAAGATTAGTAATAATGAATTTTAAGAACTCTCAAAGAAGACTCCTCAGCCTCTATGTTGTCTTTTTAAATGCCCATATAGTCCCTATAGCCTATATTTCATTACATCATCAATTTAGATGGGTTATCTGGGGTGGACTGGCATGGAGACAGGATTCCTAATCTATCTAAAGGAATGATATTCCCCCTCTCCACCTTCCTTTTGCTCTCCTGGAATCCTTTGTGCCTTTATACAATATGCTTTTATCCAGAGTCCCTTTGATTCTGGAAATTATTTCTGTTTTCCTCGTGACAAGTTTACTCTTTCTCCTTCCCACTCCACATACTTGACATTGTTTCTGGATTCTCTTCCCTACTTTTTCAGAATCCCATATCCAGTGTCTCCCTCTGCATTCCTATAACACCTATCCCATTATTTTCAAGTTAAAGATGGAGTTTCATTTTTAATAGTTTTCTGTGCATTAAATTTTTACATACAAGTGGGATTCATTGTGATATGTTGGCACATGCACATAACATGATGATCAGTCTCATTCCCCAAGACCTCTCCTTTCCCTCCATTTATTCCTCCCCCTGATCCTCTTCCTCCCCCATCCCCTCCATCTTCTCTACATATCTTCCTTCTATTGTTATTATTTTTAAATTAGTGCACTATAATCATACATAAAGTGGGTTTCATTGTGGTATATTTGTAGATGGACATGACATAATTTGACATCATTCCCTAGTGACCTTCCCTTGCCCTTTACTTCCCTTGCCCTCTATTCCATTGGTCTCTCTTCATTTTCATGAGAGCCTTATTTATTGATTTATTTTTCTCTGTTTTTAAAGGCAGCATTCCCACAGTAGGGGCAGAGTGAATAATCTAGGGATCCATTCATACTGCTTATCTCTAATATATCCTTCCCTCTTTTCTTCTTCCCTCTTTCTACTAGTTGGCTGTCCCCAGCTTGAATGAAGAACCTGGAATGAAACTCACTTGTCTTGCAAGAGATCCTAGTCACCTGAATCACAGAGTATTGCCTATAGGATTAGGTTTCTCTGCCAAGGTCTATGTCAATGTGTGGCTTATCAGCCTATGCACAGAGCATACATATTGGCTATCACAGCATTCTCCAGACCTACACCATAGGCCACCAGTTCAAACATGGCTTTCAGTTGAAATCTGAGAAGTTTTAAAAATACTAGTAAATACCACAAAATACCAAAAAATTTTACATAAAAGTGGGCTATGGGCCTGGGAATTAGGATCTTTGAAAATTTATAGGTGATTCTAATGTGTAGTAAGGTTTGAGAATAACTGCTGTAGGTCAAGTTTCCAAAAGTCTGTTTTGAAAAGGTCATAGAGTAGATAATTGTGGTTTTTCAGGCTACAACTATGCCAAAGACAAATAAATAGGAGTACCTAGTTTCTAATAAAACTTTATTTACAAACATAAGTTATGCTCTGAATTTGGCCAGTGGTCCATAGTTGGCTGACCCCTGTTAAAATCTTTATTAGTAGTAGTAATATTTTTTAATTTTTTAAAAAAAGATTTAAACTTCCAGTGAAAGTAACTTCACCATATGATTTCTACTGCTGTGGTTGGAAATAATTCACATTTAGGTGGCAAGAACATGAAAATGAAGACCCCAATCTCCTTGGGGTCACTACATTCAAATGCCAAAGAAAACTGACCAACTTTTCCCATACTACAAAAAAGTCACTCTCTTGGCCTCCTTTTATACTGGCAATGGGAAAGAAAAAAGAAGAGAAAGAAAAGAAAAAAGAAAGGAAAAAATAAATGAATAACAACAGCAAATAAAGAAGAGGTTGAAGTTTGCATAAGTTAATTCCAAAACAGTCTTACTCCAAAAGAAATGTATGCACCCAAGACGCTTCCAGCAATTGTAGCGAAGCCAGCAGTCATGATGGCATGGAGTTCTGACTTGGTGATATACGGTAAATATGGTCGGACCAGCAATGGAGACTCTGTCTGAAGAAAGTGAAGGGTAATTGGATTAAATGTGACCTTTAAAATTTTAGAGGAGGTGTGTAATCAGCACCACATTTCATTATAAATCCATGTTTCTAAGAGTCAGCCTTGGGCCAACTCCATCAGCATCACTTGAGAATTGTTAGAAATTCAAATTCTCTGACTTATGGAATCAGAGAATTTGAATTTCTAACAAATTCAGCAATTTGTGTTTTTACAAGTCTTCCAAGTAATTATGAGGCATGCTCAAGTTTGAGAACGGCTGTGTGATCTGAGCTCTAGGTCATTGTCATGTACAGTCATGGGTAAACCCTGACATTTGTGAAGCTAGTTATAGGGTGCCTCCACCTAGCCTAGGACTGGATTCTATGAGGACTTGGAGTACATTACTAAGGGCTGACCAAGTAACTGCCCAGTGGTCTGGCTCATGGACTGGGGATTTCTTGTGAGCTGTGACTTTTCACCATTTAGCTTCATCTAGACAGACTCGACCTGTTTCTGAAGACTTCAGGAAAATAGAGACAGGTGTATTAAAAAAAATACCAGCAATTACAAAGACAGGTGCCCTTAGGCACTTTTGTAATTGAAAATCAGAGGATCCCTCTCTTATGGGTAGAAAGAAACTGGATAGAGTGTAGACTCAAATCTCATTAAGGAGGACAGCCTGCCTGCCCTGTAGGGCTCTCCATCAATAATAGGTGTGCTTTCAGCATATTAAGTATCAAATTAAGTACTACAGGAGCATGGGTGCAATTTTACAATTTTCTCCTCATTATTTCTAATTGTTATATAAGATTGAATGCATTGAGCCTCAGTTTATAGACTAAATAGGAGTCCAAATACTTGAGCCTTCTTATCCTGCAGGTAGTAGCAATCAACTCAAGATGGTGCCCTAATTAGTCCTAAGAGATTTTATGACTGTAATTATTATAATTTCAACTTATAGGGGAAAGAAGTATGCTTCATCTATCTCCACTAAAGAGCTCCAGACTGGTGAGCTGGGCTTACCAAGAAGGCTCAATCTGCTTGAAGGAACTGGAGCAATAGGAAGCCTGGCATTTGGAGCTGTGTTTCACTGGGTGACTCCATTTTACTGGGCAGTGGTTCTGGCCAGTATTCACCCTTGGCTTCGTTGGTGCATGATTCCATTCTCCCTGAAGCTATATATCCTGAGGGATGAGTAGCTTATTACCATTCCTCACTTTTCCACCTCTTAGGAATGCTGCTATATTGAGGGACATCCTTGGCATCATATTTCTTTGCTTAAATGGATTTTAGGCAAAAGAGCATTTATCCCTGTGATGAATCAAGAAAATGAAATTTGTAGCCTAAAAGTATATCTTTAATGAGAAGAAAAAAAACATAAAGGCATTTTTTCTTCATGCTTAGCAAAGACAGAATGTTGGCCAGTTTGGACAAGTTGAGAATGAGAATTATTTATACAGCTGCATGGTTGTTGGCAAAAGGCCTTTGTTGGTTTTCTTTACTGCCACCGGCATTGCAGTGTAGAATACAAGGCTGTCTCTTACATGTTTACAGCTTTAAGACAGTGGAATCCATTTGAGGAATTGAGCTGCTTGTTTCTGAAGAGTCAACCAGAAACCTCAACAATTCAATGAACTCAAAAAAGAGTGTAGAGAGAATTTGTATATGAGAAGCCCTATGCTTTAATAAAATATCTCGACTTTTGTTTTCTTCACAACTTACAGGAACCCAATTCCATACCAGTGTATCTAAACACTTCAGAGGTATCTTTCTTTCTTTCTTTCTGGAATCTGGGCATTGCCAAAATTAAGGGTTCCTTATTTACATCTTTTTCTCCACACTAAAAGAAATGACAATACCATGGTATTTTCCTATTCTGTGTTTTGGAAAGAGACTATCCATTTAGCAGATGTCTTGTATTGCTTGCTTTCTTGGTATTGCAACTTACTTGTCCAACAAATATATTGCCAGCAGCAACTAGAGACTCAACAGGAGATGAGCCCATAGTAACAAGCATTATCCATCCGACCTAAAAGGAAGAAAGGGACAAAGTTAGTGATGAACTGTGTGTATATAACAAAATTCAAAGTGGGGTAAAGTCTTTGAACTGGAGTAAAATATTGAGGCCTTCAATAATCATTGACTGGTTGGTGATGGTTGGTGATCAAGCCCATAGAGCAGGCTGATCAAATCCTCCTGTAAGGGTGGTAAGTCTGAGTCATTGTATAGACTTTTGAACATTAGACAAATGATTTCTACAGATATGCTTTATAAAAGTAATGAGTGATAATTGTTAACACTTATGGTGGGCTTTTCTGCATTCCAGGCACTGTTGTAAGCCCTTGATCTGGGCAACACATTGAATCTTTACTCTTTGAAGTATGTCCTATACATTATGCCCATTTTACAGAAGAGGAAACCAAAGTATAGAGTAGTTGTTTTGTCAAAGAAAGTGGTTTTGTCAACTATTAAACAGTGAGATTAAACAATGAACGTGGTTTATGGATCTACTGTTTGTACTGGCCTTTTGTGATATTTGAATCTGAAAAGTCCCCCAAAGCCCCATGTGTTAAAGGCTTAGTCTCCAGACTGTATCACTATCAACTGGTGGTGAAAACTTTAAAAGGCCATGCCTGGAGGGAGATCTTAGGTCACTGCCATTGGGAGATATTGGGGAATCTCAGTCAATTCCTTTCCCTTTTCACATTCTGGTCATCAGGTGAGCAGGCATTCCCTGCCCCAAAGCAGCAAGGCAAATCAATCATGGACCAAAACCTCCAAAACTGTGAGCCTAAATAAACCTTTCTTCTATAGAAGTTGATTATCTCTGATATTTATCATAGTAATGGAAAGGTGACTAATAAACCTTTCATGATACCTATCTCAGGATGCTGACTTCCTGTTGAATTCTATTTCCTTTCTTTCCACTTACCTATATGAGTATGGTAATTCTTTCTTTAAAAAACATTGACTTTTTGATATTATTTATTAGCATGGGAAAATGGCTACATCRAATAGTGATTGGAAAATCAAGATGTAAAATGATGTATAACTTCATTGACAATTATATATAACATTATCTACATGCATTTATGATCTAACAAAGACTCTTATGATCATTTTTTTAACATATTTGTATTTGTTTTTAAGGCTTTCTCTCTCTTTCTCTGTGAGATTATTTCAAACAAGCACTATATACTTTCTTATTTTAAAAAATTCTTTATTTTGGTTCTGGTGATTGGACTCATGGCCTTGTGATGCTAAGCAGGGCTTCTACCATTGAGCTGCATCCCTATCCCTTTTTCTCCTTTTAAAAAGCAATTATTCCTATGCATTTTCCAAAGATTCTAAGCAGATACATATTATCATCAAATAATATTATTACCAGAACTTTAAAAATTTGGATTCTAAATGTGAGTGCAGTAATTCTGAATATATAAACCAATAATCAAGATATTATCAGTACTGGAGCTCACTGTGATTGCAAATTCTGCTGGTATTCTTATTCTTTCTTTTTCTCTTTCTCCTATCTTTTCTCTTTCTGGTTATATATTTTGATTTATTTACAGGAATCAAAGGAAGGCTGTGGTTGTCCCTCAAGCCCTGTGTGCACTGGTCTGCTTCCATGTGCATCCAAACTAGCTTACAAATATCTAGTTTTCTGATCTGACATGAGGGTACAACTCAATTGCTGGAGCAGCAAGAATGAGATTAACTCTTACTTAAAAAAAAAAAAAGTATGCTTATAAAACTCCCCCACCCCCAGAGTGAAAAACACTTCACTTTCCTGCTTTAATTTCTCTAGCAACTCTAAGACGAGGCGTACCTACTTTGGTAACTTTCTAAAGACAAGTTGTCAGTATGTATGAGGCCTAGTGTAGGTAACTGTGAGGAGAAATCAACACCACTTCCCCGTGGCAGGTATTTGACCTCAATTGCTTGGTTAAAGACGTAACTGCTATGGTTTCATGGAGTTATCCAGTGGGTTGTAAATCAAAGCCCTATTAGAAGACCCTGAGATAAAATTCCCAGTATGGGCACATGCAGGATTTGGCGTTTCAATGTAATAACTTTGGTGATGGAGGTGAATATTTGTAGGAAGAGAAAGGCACTTTGGAAATGCCTGGATAAAAGGCATTTAAGACTTTGTACCTGAAATAATCAACTCTGCACCTGTCACCTTGTATGCCCAATCCCAGTACCTTTCTGATGATCCACTGCATCAATCCCATGTAGTATAACATGGACATCACAGTGCTGAAGAAAATCACAATTGGCAAGACCTGGGGATGGGGGAACAGAGTTAGTTATGGGTCAGTGGTGACCCCAATAATATTACAGATTTACTATTAGGTCTCCTCTCTGCCTCCTCTCTCCATCAGAGACACCATAACAATGCTGGAAATGCCTCTTGAACTGACAACCCTTTTTACCATGCAGCTTCCCTCTCTAAGTCTCTTTTCTAATTTCTTCTAGATAGGCTTGAGTGTCAAATTGATTTGACTGTCCCCTGAAAGTTCAGATGTTGGAAACTTAATACCCAGATTCATATGTTAATGGCAYTTAGAGGTGGGRTTTTTKKGAAATAATTAGGATTAGATGAGGGCATGAAGGCGGGGCCCCCATAGTGGCAGTAGTGGCTTTATTAGAAGAGAAAAGAGATCTGAGAGAGTTCACTTGCTCTGGCTCATCATCTGATACCTTCTGCCATGTTATGAGGACCAAAGGTCCTTATCAATGCCAGCATGTTGGAATTAGACTGCCCCCACCTTAAATTTGTACTCTAAATAAACTTTAATTCTTTATAAATTATCCAGTTTCAGGTATTTTGTTATAACAGAAGAAAGAAGGCTAAACAGTATATTTCATAGAAAATGTGACCTCTCCCCTTCTTATTTTATTTTTTGTTTTAGGTGGACACAATATCTTTATTTTATTTTTATGTGGGGCTGAGGATCAAACCCAATGCCTCATGCACGCCAGGCGAGCACTCTACCACTGAGCCACAACCTCAGCTCCGACCTACCCCCTTCTATGATGAGGTTTTCTTAGAGAAAATATACAATTTGGGGGGGAATTTTGATAGCTAGAGCCACAAACTGAAGGCCACTGGCAAATATTCTCATTGTCCTGATATTAAAAAGACATGAGCTTCATCACTAATTAGCAGAGTAACCTGGGTCAAGATGAATCGTGAGGCACTTCAGATCCTTATTTGTAGCAGCTGTGTGGTTCAGACAMTTTATGGTTGATAYTTRCACASAGTGCCTYCCATRGAGTATGCATTWATTCTTTTRGCTTTAGAAATARAAATTATTTTACCTCTAGATTTTTGAATCACTAAAGTGATGACATTTTGAAGACCAGGTTAGTCCTGTGTTAAAGAAGGATGTAACTGGCTAGATCCTATTTCTCTGTTGCTCTTTTGGAACCTGCAGCTGTGTTTCTACAGGGAGCAGTTTCCACCTACATAGACCACACACAGCTGTGGGCCAGGTCTCTACTCAGCCCCACTCCACCTCAACAATTCCCCACTGTTCCCCCAGCTAAATGGCCAGATGATCTGCTACCAGAGACACAGAWKRMCMARGRMMAWTT